CCTTGGTATAACCACATTCCATGTTTAATACCACTCCAGTGAGACAAAATAATGTGAACCACTTGGTTCAGGTTTTCTTCCAAATATATTTTTATTGATAGCAGAGAGGAAGGGAGAGGAAGAGAGAGATAGAAACATCAATAATGAGAATCATTGATTGGCTGCCTCCTGAATGCCCCATTCAGGGGATTGAGCCTCCAACCCAGGCATGTGCCCTGACCAGGAATCGAACTGTGACCTCCTGGTTCATAGGTCAGTGTTCAAGCACTGAGCCACACCAGCCAGGCTGAAGACACTTTTTAAAAGAATAACTTCTAATAAGATTAGTATGAATTTGAGATACATAACTGTGTTTTTAACTGTTTGTTTCAAGCATGCTAGCTCTAGGAAACAACGAACAGCATATCTTAGATGGAAATAAAAACAACCAGTATATAATAGAGAAAGTGGCTGTTATTGACTACATAATAGGAGGTTAGTTTGAATGAGTTTAACATGTTATGCTCTTGGTGCAATGCTTTCTGAGAGACTGGGCAGAGAGAAGGAAGGGAATCAATGTGTTTTCCAAGCTTCAGTTTCCTGAGAAACTATGAAAGATAACTGCCTCGTCACTACAAAGGAAAGCTGTAAAGGACTCAAAATATTTTAAATTTCTTAAAAATCCAGACACACACACACACACACACACCCTGATTAATTATATCTTTTAATTTCCCTAAAATCTATCATAATTATAAGAAATCTACAGACAAAATCCTGTTTTGTGCAATAAATGTTTCTGAAAAGTTTGGCTGAAAAGGGTGTTTGCAAACTGGATCCTGTCAAACACATTAGGATGTCTTATTTTTGAAAAGACCACTTCCAATTAAACTAACATTGATTGTTATTAAAAACAATCTCTTTCCACTGTATACAAAGTTCTAGATTTCTGGAGGAATGCTCCCTTTGAAACAAGGCTTGCCATAGCCACATGCATGCACACAACTTCCTCTGTCCTGTGCCTTATTTACCAGCCATCACTGGCCCTGATTCCTGTCCTCAGGTTTACCCCTAGTGTCAGGGACTTGATATTTCCTGCTGTTCCCCTGGTTTATAAGTCAGCCCACTCCAGGACCATGGCTTGGGCCTTGATCATCCTCTTAAATCCTGCCCAGAACTCCTTTCCCTCTTTTTGGCTTTGCTGTTTCTCTGTTGGACATGTCTGTTTAAAGGGATCCTGTCCTCTCATGCATCCTGAGCTGACTCTTCAGTCCACCTACCCTCCCCATCCCCTACTCCTTTGCCACCTCGGCTCAAATTATTTGTTTTTTAAGCCTGGATTTTTATGTATTTCATATTATTTTTCAAAGTTGAAATCGCTGAACTTATTTATGAAGGGTCTTCAGCTGTTTGTGAAAAAAAAAATGAAACAAATCAAAATAAGAGAGTAGGAACATAGCCAAGGTTCCAGCTGTCTCCAGTCACTCAGGCCTACTGAATCAGACACTCTGGGTTTGAGTTTAACCCTCTGTATTTAGTAAGTCCTCTGGGGGGTGAGTTCATGCACACTAAAGTTGAAGAACTACTACTCCAAAAGCAAAGAGGGGGTATCTCATTAAGTCTATATCATTGACAAAGAAGAATGTCTAAGATATTCTATATAATAAAACTATAGGTAAAGTGTAATTTTAAAAAAGGTTAGAAGTGTTTTTCCACATGGAAATGTCTAGTAGGTTATGCAATAAACTGTTGAAGTGGTTAACTCAGGGGAAATTCATTTTCCTTTTTCTTTATGGATATCTGTGTTTTTAATCTGTAAGTATATACTATTTTTAAATTTTAAAAGATGGTTAATCTAGGCATCCTTCACTCCTCTCTGGCAACATTTGCAGATAAAAGTTAACTCAGTCCCAGGAGACTTCAGTGTCTGGACTAATCAAGCTTTGTGCTGCTTAGGGAATTCCAGAGGAAGTGGGGTAGAGATAGTGCTCAGTGCTCCATGACTCAATCAGTGCTTCTAGGGAAAGCTGCTATACCAGGAAATGACAGGTCAGAAAGCCTGAGAGATGCTGCCTTTCTTAAACAGGCCAACTTCTAAAAAGGGATGGTGGGGCTCCAAGGGAAAACAGAACAGACTAAAAACCTAAGGGTTTGCTTGGAAGACACCAATTTATTGCTGGGAAATTGTCTTTGTTGCAGAAATTCTGTTTGAAGTGCCTCACTTTTCACCACCCCCCACGTTGTGATCTGGCAGTCATTCCATCATTATATCACGCTGCAGACTAACGTAGTCCTTCTTCAAGTGGCTCCAGGTAGATATAGCATATGCATATGACAGACTAAAAGGAGGCTTAAAAATAAAACTGGTTGGTGGAAAATAATCCATGGCCAGATAAAGAAGATAAAAGTGAGGTGAGTGTGTATAAACGTATCCAAGATCAAGGGAGATCCTAACAAATACCCTTCAGCTTATGGTGCATCATGGGAAAATCCTGAGGCTTCCATGGTTGCTCTCATGGGACCACTCAACTCTTTCACCTCTGGCAACTTTCCCACCAGAAGTATTATGGATATTCATAGAGGATCGCAAAGCACTTTACCTGTATTCATCATCACGTACAGAAGCCACTCAGTGTAATTGTACATATCCTCTCCATCTTCACTGCCTAAAAGCATGTGGATGTGGCAGAAACAAAACATACAGTAGAGCTGTTGTCCCAGAAACCAGAGAAACTTGCTTTAAAAAAGCAGCTTTCAGTAGTCTTTAATAATTTATTCATCTTCACTAAAGGAAAACTACTTACACCAGGGATCTTTTTTACAATGACCTAAGAAAATTAATAAATGTTATCCCTGGAACCCTAACCACACCAGAAGACAAAAAAAAATTACTAATATCCCAATACTTTCAATGCTGTATGAAGAGAAAATGATCAGGTAATTGGTTACTGTGGCCAACTTTTGAAGAGACTGTCATTTTCTGTGGCTCTGCTTCATATAGTATTTCAGAGTAGGAAACAGAGGCACACGTGAACATATGGTAGCAAGGAGATGAAGGCTTGGTCTGCAGCATGATATAAAAGATAAAGCACAGGCCTGGAGTCAGAGTTCGAATCCAGCTCTAAATTATACTAGATTTGGGGCAAATGACCCCACCTGTCTGAGCCTCCGTGTCCTTCTCAATAATATGGGAATAATAAACTACTTTATAGAGTTGCTAAAGTAATCACAAGTATACAAGAGGGAAGGTGGAATAAGGAGTTAGTGTTTAAGGGGCACAGTTTCAGTCTGAGATAATAGAGTTCTGGAGATGGATGGTAGTGATAGTCACACAACAGTGTGAATGCACTTAATGCCACTGAACTATATACTTAAAAACAGTTAAAAAGGTAAATTTCATTATATAGATTTTACCATTATTATTTTAAAAAATATGTAAGGCTCCTAGCACAGTGCCTGGCTCTTACTCAGTATGTGTTCAAGAAATGCTAGTCTTATTCCACTTATAAATAACTTTAAATGAAAGAAGAAAAGGAGATGTGAAAAGTCAAACAGTCATGCTCCTTTCCCAATTTAACTGTGAGCGGCTCTGACTCTCAGGCTGAGCCAGCTGGCACCCCTATCAGGTAGTGTGCTACAGTAAGTATCTGGGCAGGAGAAGAGAGGCTGTGTTAGTCATAATCCCTCCAGCATGTTCAGTTCCCAGTTCACCCCCACCCTGGTATGGCATCTCCCAGAATATCAATCCTATAGTCCCAGCATCTTGCAAAGAAAGCTGGGAAGTTTAAACCATTTCCCAGACCAGACTCCAGGTCATGAGGACAAAAGCATTTGAAATGACAGCTGGCTCCTGTAAGTTGGGGAGAGACAAAATGCTAATGCTGAACACCAACTGGATGGGTCTGGAGCCTGTTCCAGTCCCCAGCATTAAGCTGATCAGTATCTCAGATGCCTTTGGCTGAATTTAATGGACACAGAGGACAATAGTCTCAAAGGCCTGGTAAAGGAAAATTAAAAATGCACTTGTCTGCAGTTCAGGAAAAACAATTAATGATTATGTGTTGTACTAGTAAGCCAGAAAGTACAGAAAGGGAAAATAGATGACTTATCTCTAGGCATATTAGCACACTGCTTTTGATGGGCAGGCTTAATTAAATCTTGATGCAGTGTTCTTTTTTTTCTCTCTCTCAAATATATTTTTATTGATTTCAGAAAGAAAGGGAGAGGGTGAGAGAGATAGAAACATCAATGATGAGAGAGAATCATTGACCAGCTGCCTCCTACACACTCCACACTGGGGATCGAACTTATAACATGGACATGTGCCCGACTGGGTTCATAAGTCGATGCTCAACTCCTGAGCCATGCTGGCTGGGCTTGATGCAGTGTTCTGATAGATGACTGTTAACAACCCTCGAACTTAGCTGAAGGAGAATGAAATACAGGTTTCCCTATTCCTATGAAACTTTTGTAAGCTGAAATGGTGTAAAGCAAAGACACATTTACCATTCATTTATATGGGAAATATTTTTAGGGTTTCCAGACCCCAAAATATCACGTACCAAATCATGCTAAATATGCTTAATTACCAGTTTTATGCTAAATGAAACACCCTTAGGAGCTCTCTGAGGCTTTTCTGATATCTTAGGACACATCTTGCTAACGGATGCACAAAATAAATGGAGATAAAACACAGATGCTCACAGACACAGTCAAAGCTATAGAGGCTGATACTGAGATGCTGAGTGTAACTTCAGGAAGGAGCTTGGCAGGGCCACTTGCTCCTCAGGGTTGTGCTGCCTCTAACAGCTCCTTGCAAAACAAAGGCTAAAGGCTATTTTCGCTTTTCTTCATAAAAGCGATAGAAGTGAAAATTCTCTCCAGATTTCTTTCAGTTAGTGAAAACAGGTACTAATGCAGGTCTTTCATAAAAAGCAAAGTAGCATAAAGTGAACTTCCAAAAAGTGGGAGATACCCATACTTGGGGTACCAATATTCAATAAATTCCAAACAATACTTACTTTAGGGTCTGAGCTCTTGAACTTTAACCTTTCCACCAATTCTATCATTGCCGCCTTTAATCCGCCTGAGTCTTTGCTCTAGAAAAAAGAAAAGTCGGGTCATTAAACAGCATTTTGTTGCTCTCTCGAACACAATCAGCATTTCATGGGACAATGAAATGGAAAGCAATTTTTTTCCTCAGCCAAGAAAATGAAACAACTAGGGGGAGCCGCGTTGCCCCTCTTCCTCTTCTTTAAGGATAAAGAGGGCCGGAACATAAATTGCCCAGTGGCCTGGAATGAAAATTAAATGCAATGTGTACAGACTCACTGCTTCATCTCAGTGCTCAATTGTGCCAGTGTTCACTTAGGGCTGGGGCTCTGCAAAAGAGATTTCCTTCTGAGATGTCTATTTAATGACCTAGTGATTTTTATTTTGAACTTCTACACACTAAATACAGAAGTATGTAATATTAACATTCTTAGAAAAACAAACTCAAAGAAAATGCCCTGAGATATCATTGGAAATGGTATTACAGTGTGCTGGTTGAGTACGGGTTTTTTAGTCAGACAAATGGTTTCAAATTTGGGGTCTGCCATTAACTAGTTGACTAACCTCTGCCAAATTACTTACTTTCTCAAAACCTTCTTCTCCTTCCATAAAATGGGGATAATGAAGCCTCCTATTTGGAGGCTTAATTGAAATAGTGTTTGTAAAGGTATTAGCACAGCATGTGGCACACAGTAAGTGCTCAATGAATGTCACCTACTACTATTACTGTTATTCCAATAAAAATGTAATGTAAGCCATGCATGTAATTTTAAGTTTCTAGTAGCCACAAAAATAAAGTGAAATTAAGTTTAATATATTTAATTTAACTCAGTATATCCAAAATATTATCATTGCAACATGCAATTTCAACATGAGGTATTCAAATATTTTTTTCATACTAGGTCTTTGAAATCTAGGATGTATTTCATACTTACAGCCCAATTCAACTTGGACTAGACATATTTTGAGTGCTCCAAAGCCATATATGGCTAGTGACTACTGTATTAGTGAGCACAGATTTAGAGCATACTAGTAGAGATTCTAGAGCCAAAAATTCAAGTCCCAATTCCAGCACTAGTGTGTGACCTTAGGCAAGTAACTTAGCCTCTCTCTAATCTGTAACATTAAGTTAAACACAATATCTATTTCATAAAGGTTCTAGTAAGATTAAATTAGCTAATATATATCAAGGTGCTTAGAACAGGGCCTGACACATGGTAAATGCAATAGATGTATGAGACTTTTATTATTATTGTCTGTCTCCCTCACAATGTTTTAAATTCCTTAAGAGTAAGCACCACATTTTTTATCTCTGTATGTGTGCCCAGCATCAAGAAGGTATTTAAAAATATCTGCTGAATAAGAGAATGAACATACAAGCTTAAGACATGAATGTCCCAATAATAATACATGTATGCAGCACGATCTAAAACCACATGAATTAGTTTTATTTTCTAATCTCAGCTCCTCTAAGGTATAGGGTAGAATCATCACCCTCATTTTACTAGTGACTAAAAGGAACCATGAAAAAGTAAAATGGTTACCATTTTTATGGAGCAGGGGGAAAAATAAAGAAGTACAATATAAACAAACACTATAAATATCTGTTTCTTAAAATTGTCCTCTGAATCAGTGATATTTGCCAAATATGCAGAACCAACTCCAATTCCTCCAAAACAGGAAATAAGCACCTCGTAAGAACCCATCATATAGATTAAAATAGACTACAGCCTAAATTTTTTTTCCCCATTTAACCTCCTTTCTCTCCCAAACCTATATAGAAACAATCTGATGTAACATGACTAAGGCAGATACCCACTTTAGATGTACGCTCCAAACACACCTTCGTTGACATTCCCATTTTAGCTGTGGTTCTAAAATTTAATAATATGTATGTTTAAAATGACGATTTACAACTCTCCAAATTTCTTCACCAATTTAAATCTTCCACTTCTGTGGTATCACAGTAGGCAACTGGGAAAGGAATCTGGAGGTCACATACCAGGGAGTGGGTGAGACACAAAGAACTTAAAAATGGGTTAAGTTGCCAGACACAATCTTGCTTTTATGAGATGATCAGACAATAAAGCCTGTCTGGTGATACCATTCCTCTAACCTGTTTCTCACTGGCTGAACAAGCAGGTCACTTGTCCCTGGAAAGCTCTCTTCTCTCACATCCCAGCTGCCAGAGTCCATTTTAAGCTCCTCAGCAAGAACCCTGATATATTATGACTTTCCCCCTGGCTCTAGAGCACAGACAGGAATGTGTGAAACTGTGCCTTAAAAGATTCAGAAAGCAAACGGAAGGATGAAGGAATCCCTAAGAAGCAGACAGCCTGTTTGCAGGCAGATGTGCCTTGTGTGGAGAGATAAGGGAACCCTTAGCCTTCTTTCATAAAAAGACAGTGTGTCAGCAGAATCCTTTCTCCTTTTAACAAAGCATCAGCAGCACTGCCTGCCCAGGGGACAGAGAGGGGAGGCACAGAGACTCTCCCTTCAGGAGATCCACCATTCCACCTCCCCACCCCACTCTCTTTGAGGATTAGTCTCAAAGCTCAATTGGGGTCTATATTGAGCCAGCTATAAGAGGTCTCTAACTGGGTGGTGAAAAAACCTTCCCCTGTGGCATTTTTTAACCCATAACATAAGCAGTTGGTCAGAAGAAAGAGGCTCCTCTGGGCAGACCTCTTCCTGACAACTGCAGGGCTGGACTAGAGTACAAATGGAGGACCCTGGCCCCCCAATCCACCATCCTTCTCTTTCCACACCCCAGTCCTTTCCTGAAGCCCTTTCCTTACAAAGCCTAAACACATTCAAACTAGTACACTTAAGTTCTGGGAACATCCCTCTCAAGTAGTTGCCCTTGACCACCCTGACCTTGGAAAGCACATATCAGGGGCGGGGTCTAATGGCTTGATCCATCTTCGGGAGGATGAATTTAGAAAGAGGCTCTGCAGGTCCTGGAAGTAGGCTCAATGTAATTCATCAGGTAATTCCTAGATCCTTGGTATTTGGAGAGTGGTCTAGAAGGCGATGAACATGGCCAAAGAAGGGTCTTCTAAAGCATGAGGCATAGGGCAGGGGCAGAGGGTTGTCTAGGTCTAAGGTGTTTTTTGAGTATGAGTGCCCCAGGGTGGTATCATGTTTTAGTTAATTGTTTGTTTGCAAAGGACAGTCATCAGACAAAAGGGAATGGGAACAGGGGATTGTATCCTCATACTTCCCTTCCCTGGTGGAATAGAACAGCTGCCTCTGAAACCTGTGTTCAAGCTGAGAAGACCAGAATAGTAACTAAAGGCAAGATAATTCTAACCTTGTAGACATTTAGTTCCATAAATGGGCAGATTCTACTATGTCAACTCTTGGGGCAGGCACTGTGAGAGGCAAAGAAGTCAAATTCTCCTGATACTGCTCTTCTTCACCTCCATCCCACACAATGCATTCCAAGAACATGGAATTCAATGTGAGCATATCTTGTTTATGCACCTCCTTCCTCCCCTACAAGAGTGTGGAATAAAAGAGACAAGTGCTATGTTGTGACACCCACCCTACCCTTCGAGTTTGATCAAATCTGTAGAGACGTGGGATGCTTCACAAAAGCCAGCTCCTAGGGATGAGTCATAACACCAAGAAAAAACAAAAATACTTTATTCTTTACTCTCCAAAGCACTTTCATATGATTTTCTATTGGTATTTCACACTAAATCTAAAAAGTAGTATATTCTCACTTAATATTTGAGAAAATGACTGGTGGAAATAATAAATGCCTGCAGGAACCCCCAAACTGCACACACTCCTTCATTGGCATTTCAAGGTAACACTACTTCCTAGTGTATTCTCACTTCATAATGGAGGAAAATAGTTCTGTGGAAGTCAAACGATGTTCCCAAAATTATAGAGCTAGGAAACAACAAAACCAGGATCAGAAAGATCCAAATGAGAAAGATTAAAAATACAACCGAAGAATTTGGCATCAAGAGTACACAAGAAAATACATAAGGGATTCCTATAAATAAGAAAAAGACAAATGAGCCCCAAAGAAATCCCAACAAAGGGTATGAACATTATAGAAATGTCAAATGGCTAATAAACATATGAAAAGATGTTTTTAAAAGCTCAAATTACTTAACATGTCTCATCCATTATACTGAAAAAAGTTTTGGTTTGATAATATCAAGTGATGTGGGGCTCTGGGTTAACGGGACTTTCATATGTTGCTGATATAAAATGATAAAACTACTCTGAAGTCAAATGCCTAGCAAATCCATTTCTCTCTTTCACCTCTTGAGAAACACTAGCACATGTGTCTAGAAGGCATGCACAAAAGTATTTATTGCAGCACTGTTTATAATACTGAAAACATTCTAAGTATCCATCAATAGTGGGTGACTTGCCCTAGCCGGACTGGCTCAGTGGATAGAGTGTAGGCCTGCAGACTGAAGGGTCCCGGGTTCGATTCCTGTCAAGGGCACGTACCTCCCTTGACCGGAAGTTGCAGGCTTCCCAACCCAGGCCCTGGTTGGGGCTCCTGCAGGATGCAACTAATCCATGGGGTTTTCTCACATTGATATTTCTCTGTCTTTCCCTCTCTCTGAAAAGCAATGAAAAAATATCCTTGGGTGAAGATAAAAGTTAAAAATAGTGGGTGGCTAAATAAATTACATAATTAACCAATTATAAAATATGATATAGCAAATCAAAATAAAGTAATCTGTATGTACTTGGATACAAGACAAGACATAATGTTGAATTAATTTGCAAAAAGCTATATTCGTTTTTTTACAAAACTCTTATTTTCTATGGGTGATGTATCTATGTACATAAAGAACTAGAAAAGCAATGATTTGAGGGACCAGTATCAGGAATAGTAGTAGGAAGAGTCTTAGACTTACCTAAATGTAAGTCTACAAAGGGAAGGGAGGAGAGAAGGAAGGACAGACATACAGCTTCTTGGAGTGCTTCTCTCCATGGGTTTGCCCAAGTATAAATACTGGGACCCATTCCCTCTGCACTGAAAACATATGAACCAGCAGGTAAGAGAGAGAGT